CTTAGCCCATGATATATTGGGCCTTATAGGATCATTCAGAGAGTGAGCTAAGTAGCTTAAGAGTTAGAATTGCCCTCGGAGTTGGAGTCTGTCCATCCGATTTTTCACGTATCTATGTTACGAAAGTACATTGGCGATCCTACCTGAGTGGTGCCCCGGATGATGTACAGATTACAGAGGACTTGTCATACGAGGAAATTTCGGTTGCCATCCTAGACCGATAAATTCGCAAGCTACGGAATAAGGAGGTAGCCTCTGTGAAAGTACTTTGGAGGAACAACAATGTGGAAGAAATGACTTGGGAGGCCGAGGAAGACTTGAAGTCTAGATATCCCTACTTATTTCCTCCTCCAGAGAAGGGTCCGACTTAGACGTCATAACCATAAGGTACGTGTATAAATTCTTGTGTTGGTTATTGTCGTTGGTCATGTGAGGCCATTGTCGTTATTCATAATTATGGTCCTGTGTGGCGTTGGGTTATTAAGATTCTACGGGGAGAGTTGGTAGTAGTGTTGTTACAAAGGCGACCCTGCCAAAGTTATATATATCACGGGGAGTTGAACATTCGAGGACGAATGTTTCTAAGGGGGGAAGGATGTTACATCTCGAGTTTTCGTACGTTAAAAGTTTCGTCTTCAGTTAATTGACGTAGACTCAGGGATGAGATCATCTTGACATTAACTTATTTACACTATTTATAACAAGCGATAAATAAGTGTTATGAAAGTTAAAGGGGTACACAAATTAAAGAAAACGAGTTTCGTTGAAAATGGCCAATTTGGGATAAAATACGGGTCGAGCAATAATACCCGATAATTATGAACTAGTACCATGTAAGGTACCATATGACCACGGTAGTATAATGTATAAAGTATATATAAAGTATATTAAAAATAAGTAGAATTTTAAGTAATTTGTGGCAATTTTTAAATTATGCGGGTAATTGGTTAATTACCGGATAACGGAACATTACCTAGTTAACTAATAAGTGGATAAAAATTTACAAAATTACACTCCAAAAACGTGGCATAAATGCCACAAGGCTAAGAATGACCCTTAGTCATTTATGCCATGTGGCTACCTAAGGATTAAATTAAAGGTTAACCAAAATAAGACCTGTTAAGAGCCTTATCTCATTTTCCATTTTGGACAAAAGGCTCAGAACGTTGATTAGCCATTATTCATATATCATTCTTTCTTTGTTCAAGAATTTGAAGAACCAAAAAAAAACGTTAAGGATTATAAACCAAGAAGACATGTTCCATTCTTTCTAATACTTCAGAGAACAAAGCTTCATTTTTTTCGTTCAAAATATTTCACAAAAGCAGAAGCTTCATTTTTTACGTTCAAAATTTTGCGGTTACAAAAGAGTACGGTGCAATCTTCACCAAGAATATTATACGGAGTTTTTCCTACTTCAGGTATGTTAAGGCTACCCCTTCCTTCTTTTTGGCATGGTCCAATTATACAGAAGAAATAAGCAAATACACGGTTTTCATAAACGACTCTATTTATAGAAGTACTAGGGGTCTCTGTGTTCTTGATTCCCCATTAGACATATTATTATATCTTCTATTCATGGGTCTCAAAATGATACGCGGTTGATAAAGTTTATCCGAAAAAAATATTGAGATTTTTAACATATTTCTATGCATTTTATTCATTTATGCATATACATTGACCCATGACCAGACGGCGTTATATACGCGTATTTATATGTATATATTTATGTATATGGGATATGGGAAAAAGGTTACGGCGTTATATACGCACCACCACCTGATCAGTTGGTATATGTTGATGATGTTGCCCACAGTGGCCGAGATGATATGATGGGATGCCCTCAGTAGATTGATGGTATTATGTACACCCTTACCTATGCATGACACGACATTTGTACGCATGTGCATGACATTATAAATGTTTCAGAATTTACAAAGTTATTCAGATTTACAGATGGATTTCTTTATTCCATGTTTCATCTATGTCACTTACATACTGATTTTCATGCCTTACATACTCAGTATATTTTTTGTACTGACGCCCTATTTCACGAGGCCTGCATTTCATGCCCGCAGGTGCAGGTAGGCAAGCTGACGGTCCCCCTTCTTAGGATCCTTGATCAGCGAGAGTTAGCGTGCTCCACTTGACCCGGAGCTGCTTTTGATTTTGGTACGATATATTGTATATATATATGGGTATAACGTGGCTTAGTCCCGTCTTTGTACATTTATATTTCTATTAGAGGTCTGTAGACAGTATGTCTAGTTGGATAGTATGTGGCCTTGCCGGCTTCCAGTTCTGAGTTATATAGTTGTCTATAGCAGCCTTGTCGGCTCGCCCTACGTATGTTGCACGTATATGTATGTATGCCTTTTTGGGCAGATTTCCTTCGTGTACATTATTTTCGTATTTCAACAGATATTATTTAGGTTTACATCTAAGACGCATGCTTAAGGGTGTTTGACAGGTAGGACTCGGGCCCCCGTCGCGGCCCATCGGTTTAGGTCGTGACACTTGGCCAAGTCACACCAACTATGTTCCGCATATGAAGAAGTGGAGGCCAATTGTCGTACCCAGCCTGCGAGGTCCGAGACCGCACCAGGAAACCAAGCAACAGCTGCATCATCAGAAAAGAGTTAGATCGAGAAAAAGTAGGGGAAGCACGGTATTAATCACCATCGATAAATTTATACTTACGTTTCATGTTCCACTCCTCGGGAAATGGCATCCTCTCGGCAGGAATCAGATCGGAGGTCCTGACTCAGACAAACCGGCTCATCCATTCTCTGTCCTTGTCCTCATTGATGCTGGAGAAAAGGGACTTCAAGGATCGGGGCTAAATCTTTATCAAACCCCCTCGATAAAGGTGAGGGCTTTATAGCCTGATCAGGTAGTCGAGGTTAAAAGGCATCCCCTCGACCAAGCCCGAGAAATATCTGATGAGATTAACGATGCGCCAGAAAGAGGGGTAAATATGGCCAAGCGTCACCTAGTATTGTTGGCGAAGATCAAGAATTACTGGATCTATAAAACCCAGAGCTGGATCTGCGGGGCCCAACGTGAAAGGGTAGGTATACACGCTTAAGTACCCCGCCTTATGGGTAGCGATGTCCTCTTCAGGAGAAGGGATCACAACATCTTTGTTCTCCTAGTTACAGTCATTTTTTACCTGCTCAAGTTCGCCTTCAGTTATTAAGCAGATGTATCGAGACATGGGCTCACATCGACCTGGTGTCGGTGCAGGTTTCTCGATTTTAAAATCGGAGGTTAGCTCACATGGCCCGGGAGTACACTCCTCGATATGAGGGGCACCACTGTTCTACCTCTGGCCAGCCGCGACGATGAAGCTTTTTCTTTCTAGGGAACAGTCTTAGATGTCTTAGCCATTGTGGTTGAGAAATTCAATTGAAGGGAAGAAGTTGATGTTGTAGTAAGAACAAATTGGGAAAAGGATGAACTCAGAGAAGTTGAAGAAGCTAATGAGATTTTAAGGATGATTTGAGAAGTAAATATTGCAATAATTGTGGAATTGGCTTATTTATAGAGGTCACTTAAACGGTTTGGGGAAGCCAAATAGCCGACCAGTAGACGCCTCCAATTAATGACCTTGGGAGCTACGTGGAAGTGACTTTTCAATCACTTCAGCCGCTGACATCACAAGATTGACATCATGATCGAGGGGACAGAGTATCGAAGATCAAATCGTTTCTTATCATCTTACTCTAAGAAATGCGGGGACTATCTGTATACGGTCAAAATAGGGTATGCCCAATTTCCCCAACTCGAGGGGTCGCCTTAAGTCCGAGTTCAGGATGGATCAAGTTCGAGCTCGATGGACCAAGCTCGAGCTCGATGACACAGTGCAAGGCTCGAAGAACCAAGTGTTCGAGGAACGTCGAAGTCTAATATGACTGGCCTCGAGATAATGCCGTTATGGATTTGTAACAGATGAGCAAGATTCCTGCCACGTCCCCAAGATCGTGGCGCAAATCCCGGAATAGATTTGTACGAATCCGTACTAGGCGGTTACACAGCTGTCCCAATAAGATTCTTTACTGTAAATAGAAATGTACCTTATATAGGGTTCCCCTATTATATAAAGGGGACCCCAATCATTTGTAAAGACATCTAATCATTGGCAAAGAATATACTCTCTTACTTTTTGGCTCATTGTTCATCAGATTTGTCCTTTAGCTTTATTATACTTGCTTTATTGTTCTTGATCCATCTCGAGGTCACTTTGGCTCGAGGTAGAAACAGGTCTACATTCTGGTTTGATTTTACTTGTTCCTTTCATTTATACTTCAGATTTCTTGGTTATTAATTAGTATTGAACTAAATCACGTATCTTTAAAACCATAAATCAAATTTAATTGTTACTCGTATTTTTGAGGTAAACAAGTAGCAAAAAGCAAAAGGAATTGTCCCTTAAAAGCATAGAGTGATTTTTCAGTTATAATATACAAAATAGAGTGACTTTTCAGCTATAAAATAAAGTAAGTGATTTTTAGTTATAATAGGCAAAGTAGAATGGTTTTTCGGTTACAAAACAATGTTAAATGACTTTCACAAGCAATTTTTATTAGTCAATTGAAACCTGACCCCACCAATCAAGTTCATTGTTCTGCTTCTAATTGTATTAATAATTAACAAGAACCTGCACATATTCCAGTGCAAGGTTGTACTTTAGATTAACTTCAAGACCATGCTGAAGCTATACCATAATTGTTTGTGCAGAAAAGGTCCAAATACCCCCCCCCCCCTCCTCCTCCTGAACTTTACGTAAGGTCTACAAATAACCCTCGTTCGAAGTTTGGCCCATTACCCACCTTGTCGTTATACTCTTGGCTCGGATAGTCCCTTAATTTTAAACGACTGCCACATTAGATAAGTTATCCGCTCATAATTTGACATGTGGAGTTTTAATTTACACCTAAATATTTCAATTCACACCCAACCGGATTTAATTAGCCTACCCGTTACCCGGCCCGTATAACTTGACCCCTTTCTTAAAGACACCCGAATTTTACTTCTATTATCAATTAGGGATAGCTCTTCTTCTCGATCTCAACAAGGAACTCATAGAGTTGCTGCTAATTCCGGTGCAATTCTAGGCGATCAAGGTAGAGTTAGTGTCCCGACCATCTTTCACCATTCAATTCCCAAAATATGAGTCAGGGATCTTCGAGTTCATCATATGGTTCGAGGAGGAAATGTTGTTGTGGAGTTGCTGCTAACCAATTCACTGCTCAGATTCCAAATAATGTCGGCAGACGATTTAACAAGTGTTCAATGCCTAAGGTAATTTTATAAGACTTGTTTGTGTATTTTTGCTTAGGTTTATGATAAAAAATTCTCGATAATTTTATTCTAATTGCTGTGAAGGGACAGAAATGTAAGTTTTGTGGAGTGGGTAGATGATGAACTTCCTCTTAGAGTTACAGCACTGATCAACAACTTAAAGAATGAAAATGAAGCTCTTAGACGTGAAAGGAATCTTCTGTTGATGAAGGTTGTCGAGATTGAAAGAGCCTTAGCGGGGAATGTTACAAAAATTGAAGATTTTAAGGAATTTGATGATGTTAAAGGAGAAAATGATGTTTCTAAGGAGAAAATGGATGGAGGTTTAGTGTTGTGAAGGAAAGCTGTCTGAAAAAATGGAATGTGATTGGTATGGTATGATGTTGCATCGTTGGGTTCGTGTGTGCTTGGATGATGAAATAGATATTCTGCTACCTTAAGATCAACCAAAGTTTAGGTGTAATTGACATATTTAAGTGATTATGTAACCTATGTCCAAACAAGGTTTATGTATAATTGACATGGTTGAGGTGTAATTGATATGATATGTTTGAATCATCTTTTGCATTCCAGTGATTGTATATTTAGCCATGACAATATTGTCGCCTTTGCACATATGCTTTCGATCACTGTTTTTCCTCTGTTTTCAAACTCATCATTAGGTCCACTTTACTGAGTTTTTGAATTTCTAAGCTTAATTTGCGTCTGCTTATGAACTTAATTTGTTGTTCTTAAGTAAGCCAATTTTATCTAAATCTACTCTATAAATACATGAGAGACAAAAGTAAAGAAGTGCAAAAAAAATCAACTTCCAAATTCCTATCTTAAAAGTAGTAACAGAAGACAATAGAGACAACTTTATTTCTTCGACATTCCTTTCTTATAATTTGAAAAAAAAGAAATTGACGTCAAACAGAAGTAGACAGATTTGCAGAAAACAGAACATGGTACTTAAGCCTCCACAGCTTTGTACATAGCCAAAAATGTTTCATCAATACCATTTGAACAAGGCACATACTAGTTTTACCATACTTAACCATCAGATACTAAACCAACCCCAAAAAAGGTTAAATACCAACCAACCATTACTGTTTGTTTACTAACTAAACATAACTGTTTTAGTAACCAATCACAACAAAAAATATAGCAATTGACTTCAAAGAAAATCTTCATTATCAGGTGCAATTTTTCGTCTGCCCTTTGTTTCCATCATCTTGGTATTTCTCTTTCTTGCCTCAAGTTGAAATTGGCTTGATGAGATTGTGAATTTTTCCTTCCATGTCAGCTTAGTTGGAGAATAAGGAAGATTGGTAGGTGTCGAAGCCCCAGTGTCATCTCCAGTAAACTTAATTTTTCTTGCCCTAGTTGTTGGCCCTCTTAGGTTGCCCCTCTCAATCCTTGACTGTGTTTCTGAAATAACCATTGGCCTAAGTGGAGGTTCTTCATTATCAACTTCTGGACCATATGGTTCAAACTCTTGGGTGGCGGCAAATGGTCCAAAATCAGTATGTGACTCTTGGTCACTCTCCATTGCATAAGACTCTTGAGTTTGACTACAGCTTGCACCCTTTCTTTTACTTGATTGAGAATTCTTTCCGGCAGACTTAGGCTATTGAATTTTAAAATAAAATAAAGTCAATACATAATGTAAGTAATACTGTTATTCAATCAAACAAAGATTAAGAAATGTATTACCTTGTATCAACCCTTTTCATTGTGGTTTGGTTGATCAGACTCTTGAGTTTGGATGCAACTTGCAACATTTGCAGAAGACTTAGGCTATTAAAAAAATGTAAGTTAAAGTCAATTAAAAGTATCAATGCAACTACTACCGCTAAACAGTAACACTTTTTCCAGCATCAATTAACAATACAACCATTATTGAATAAGAAAAGTATTACCTTGTAACAACCCCTTGCATTGTGGTTTGGCTCACCACAGTTACTACATGTCATCTGTGTCCCCTTCCTTGATTGACTCTACTGCCCTATCCTTTTTTTTGCCTTCCCTATTTCTTTTCAGTTTGGGTCTTCCAACTTGCTTCACAATATCAGGAGGTAACATGGCATGTGAAGGTTCAACTTTCCAGAACTGCCGACCCCTAACAGGCTAAAGCTTTTCCTTATATGTTAGCAAGTATGCCTCTTTACTATACCACCAATGGATTTCACCTACATGCTCTACTCTCTTATGTATCATTGCCTTTATTGCATGAGGGCAAGGAATGCCAGATAAGTCCCATAACCTTAACCTGTATGTGCATCTTCTTTGTTGCAGATTGATAGTGTGTCTATCATCTCCGTCAGACACTTCATATCCCCAATCTCCATTGAATATGACCTTACAGTCATATACTATTCCCCTCCTAATCACTATACAGCTTCAAGCAAGCTGGACTATATTCTGCATTCCAACTTCACACCTTAGCCTCACTGTCTCCTAACAACACCATCATTTTCACTCGTATATCCTCCAACATTTTGATAATTGATTTTCCTCTAGCCTCAAGAATCCATGCATTAAATGACTCGGTGAAGTTATTATCAACCATCATATTCTTACATTGAATGCCAAGATAAGCCCTGCACCATGCCCTTGGGGGATACTTTAAGATATCATTTGCAATATTTTCTGACATATTCCCTAATTTTTTCAATTGGTCTTTAAACTCCTCATCATATGAACTCCATGCACACCACCATAACAACTTTCTCAACTACTCCTCCATTTTTTGCACCAGTTAGCCTCAATATGTCTCGCACAGTACATGTGATTAGCCTCAGGAAATACTGTGCTAATAGCATCCAACAAGCCTTTTGAAGTGAATCAAAAATAAAGAATGAAAGAAAGATTAGACTATTAGTGCAAACCATCAGATACTTTAAAATACAGAATGAAAGAAAATTAGAACTATTTACCTTTTGCATATCTGATATGAATGTGATTCCTACATCAGTTTTAAGCTCCAAAGACAACTTCAACAGCTCCATGAACCAACTCAAGTCCTCCTTGTTTCCTTGTCCACCACAACCCATGCTAGTGGATAGAAATGATTCATGGAATCTTGTCCTAATGCTACCAACAATTTTCCTTGATTTTACCCTTTAAGAATGTACCATCTACTCCAATTAATGGTCTCAAACCATTTTTTCAGCCTTGCTCCAAAGCATTAAAGCATAAGTACATTCTCAAAAAAATTCTCTTACCTTCTGCTAGTGCATCTTTGGAGATATTTATGACTATATCACTTCCCGGATTAGACAACCTAATTTTTGGCAATATGTCTCAAGTTTGTTGTAGTCATATATAAAACTACCCTCAAGTTTCTGAAGAACCATATTCTTAGCCCTTTTCAGTTTGGATCTACTCACATTCAACTTCAAACCATATTCAAGTTCACCTCTCATATCTTTAATATGTAAGGGTTATTTTGGACCTTACTCTTAAAATACTGAGCTAATGTGGCATAATCAGCTCTAGGATTCTTAAAGGCATCTTCACATGTGTGTATATCCTTCCAAGTTTTAATCTTGAACCCACCAGTTCTCCCATCTTCAGAAATTAGACACCTAAAGGGGCAGCCTTCTTGACAACCATACTTGGTTCTTTTTTTTCACATTTAATCAACTCCAAAGCCTTTTTGTTAGCTAAAGCATAGAAATTCACAGCCTACCTACCTTCTTTCACGTCCTTAAATGACATACCTAGCTTCAATTCCTTATAGTTTTCCAACCTATCATCTACAACCCTCCTCCTTTCATTGCTAATACCCTCCATTTCCTCATAATTATATTCCTCACCATCTGAAGGTCATATTCACCACCAGAACCAAGACTATGTTCACAGTCTGTGATATGCAGAGAAAAAACAGTCGACTCACTCTCATCAACAGCAAAGAAATTTAAGACCTTGAATTTGTTACATAATAAGCAAAGAAGAGCCCTAATACTCTTATCACCTTCTACCAAATAGTACTTACCTGAAGGCCCAACCACTAACAATTGTTTAACTTTGACAAACCCTAATCTAGAGGTAAACTCATCACGTATATCCTTATAACTCAATAAGTCAGGATCAAATGATGTCCATAAGTGCACAAGTTTCTCACAGTATACTAGGTCAGGTGAAAATACCCATTTACCCCCATAGTTGAACACAATATCAACCTCTGAAATCATCATTCGAAAGCTAGGGGAAAAAAATAGAAAACAATAAAAACAGAAAGGGACCACATCAGAAAAGATACGTATAAAGATAAAGCATGGAACAAAAAAAATCCTACAAGACAAATCTGATTTCGGGACAACCAAAGACCCACTAAATCCCCAACAAAATCACGGGAATACACAAAATCCAGCAATAAACAAACATATATAATATTTATAAACAGACAAACATTAACTTCACCAAATGGCATATTAAACGATTTTAATTAAAACCCTAACCCAACAGTAAAATGTAACAAAAAAAGAAACAAAGAAACTTACTTTGACTAGAAAAGTCAAAAATATGTTGTAAATTTCAGCAAAAACCTCCTTCGATTGGTATTCCTTCGCATATGCAGAAACCCTAGCGGATTTGGGCAGACTAGACGAGAATAAACAATGTGGTTTATCGGTAAATGGTTTTTAACAAAGCGGACTATACGAGATAAAGGGGTTAAGTTATACGGGTCAGGTAATGGGTAACGGGTAACGGATAGGCTAATTAAATCCGGTTGGGTGTGAATTAAAATGTTTGGGTGTAAATTAAAATTCCACGTGTCAAATTATGAGTGGATAACTTATCCATGGCAGCCGTCTAAAATTAAGGGGGTATCCGAGCCAAGAGTGTAACGGCAAGGTGGGTAGTGGGCCAAACTTCTAACGAGGGTTATTTATAGACCTTATCGTAAAGTTCAGGAGATATTTTGACATTTTCCGTTTTTTGTGCTACTATTTGAAACCTTCTAATCTTTCATTGTGGCACGCAGCTTAAAAATAGTTAGATAAATGTGTGGGAAACATTACATTATGATTTTGTAGTAAAAAGAAATTTGTATTGCTAGGCCTAGTAGAATAGAGACTGGTAGTGAATAACAGAATAAACACCACAATATGATATAGGAAGTTCCTAAGGATGTCAAGAATGAAGGAAATCCATCTGGGGTCTTCTAAGAACTCAATCTTTACTCTGTTTTTGTTCTTGGCTCTTCTCAAAATACAATCTTTTTGTGTTATTTTGGTTCTGGTCTCTTCTCAAAATACCATCTTTTGAGTGCTTTTGCTTCTGGGGTCTTCTCAAAATGCAATATTTTCACTGGTTTTGGTTCTGGGGTCTTTCAAAATGCAATCTTTACTGTGTTTTGCTTCTGGGATCTTCTCAAATACAATCTTTTTTTGTTTTGGTTCTCAAAAATACCTTGTAAGAAATTCCAGAACAAGATAAATGATGGAGTGCCAATTATTGAAGAATTTGAGAAGTGTTATCTTTATGATTGATTCCAATATCTGGCTAGAACGCTTGCTCTGAGTAAAGGGTAGTTCTTCAGTATAAAACACGACTCAATTACAATAATTCGGGAAAAAAATTCAAAAATTGAAAAAAGAAGAAGCAATGAGATGAAAGAATTGCTACATAAATAGTGTAAAAAGGGCAAAAATATTCTTTCTGTGCTGTAATAACTTCTGAAGCAAAACGCTCTCTATTCTTCAGCTTCCAAAAATCATAGTTTCATCATTTTGAGCACCATATTATCCATCAACAAGACGACCAAGATTCAAACCTCATCGCGCAGCTTGTGGCCTGGTAAAATCAAAATATAGTCCACTTCACAATAAATCATATAAAAGGTGAAAGAAAAGAAGAAAAAGCTCGGAAAGAAAATACAGATGAGAAAGAAACTCGCTTTTACACATCACTATGAAATTGTTGTTACTCTTTTAATCTGAAGTTTTAAGAGAATTACCAGTGTTAAAAAGGACTGGACAATCATTGGATTGGTGAAATTTTTCATTTGCACAATATCACTTCCTCACGAATGGTTTTTGGCATACAAGTAGTCGCTGGTCACTTCCGTTCTGGAGGTCGATCACCCTAGCTTCCCAGCGGATTTGGGCAGCTAATGTCCGTGCTTTCTCTATGGGACCCAATGTATCAGAAAGAATAATCCATCCCTGCAATAAGTATAGTCTTACAATTCAGTGCAAACTGCAAAGAACATGCGGGCATGATGTTCAACTGAAGGTGCTATGTCGACAAGACTAGGAAAATAAGAGTATCTAACTGAGAAAAAACAAGCTACCCTTCGAAGAAAGAGTAAAGCAAAAAAACTTCAAAGAGAAGAAGAGATAGCAAAGAGAAGAGTACCTCAGGCCTTAAAATACGATCCATCTCCAAAAGTAGTTGAAACATGCTGCATTTCTGTGAAACAATATGGGAAAGGAGCCCATTCGCATGGAGCAAATCATATGTTCGGGGATATGTTGGAAAAGGTTCGCACCTGGTTAAAATTTAGAACAACATTCAAATCAATCACCAGAATATTTCAAGCATAGAGCAATAAAAGCAGTTCAACTTGCTTTATGAGATATCAACTGAAAACCACGACTGCTATTTCAAGAATATATCCGGGGTGAGAATACAGGTCAAGCCTCTAATGCTGCTGCCTTTCTGCTATTTCAAGAATTTCCTCCTCATGAACCATATAAAGACATGCCTTTTCTTCATAAAGGAAGCTGCAATTCTTCATAAAATTACAATTGCTTCCACTATACTAATATGAGACAGGAAATATATAATAAAATTTAACTATCAAGCAAATTGAAGAAAATACGAACATGCGCGTCCATACTCTCTAACTTTATCATATTCACCACATCCAAGCACATGTATATTTCAAGTCCTTTTTACATTTATAACCATATCTCACCAGTTATGCAGAATACCGGCAAAACCTCGATCAAGAATGAGTGGAAGCGTATTACGCGCCTCAAGAGGCACAACATTCATCACCCAAACCGCTTTGCTTGCCTCCATCAATGCAGCACTAAGACCGCCATAATGAGCATTCATGTCCATGACATTCCGTACCATATTATACGGAGGCAATGGATCATCATCACCTGGCCTTTTCGGATGGTCAGAGAAAATTAAGGGTGACAGCAAAGACCAATAATTTCTCAAAGCTAATTTCCAGAAGTCTGAATCCTCAAAGAAATCATCAGGATGGAGCCCTATCACAAAGCAAAAGATTGGTAAGAAATTGACTGCTAAAAATAAAGGGGTAAAATGACCAGAAATTGGAGAATGAACATAAAACGGAAAATGTTGCAACAACCAATTTTATTTTATCTTTTGCGAAAAGAGAACACTTACCATGAATTTCAAGCTCAGTCGAGTTCAGAGGATCAGATTTGCTATGAAGTGGAACCCACCGGTGACTGGTTGTCCCGGATATACAACGTGCGAGTGGTTGGTAATACAATTGCATATCATTTCCTTTACAAACTGGTATATCACCCTGCCTGCTACATTTAAATGCAAATTCTAATCGCATAAAGGTACAACTGTAACTTAAAAGGGAACGAAACACACGAACATTAACACCTGAGCATAAAGGGCCTTTTCCCTTTGGTATAGGGATAGGGGCATATAATAATTTATAAATAAGTGCACAAATGGAAACAGCTTCAAACCTATCCATGAACATAACAGAAACAAAGTATTTTATCAGAACAAAAGCACTTTTATTTACACCATTAGGAAAGTCTTAATGGGGTGTATGTAAGGGGGCGGTGGAGGAGAAACGCTTTTAACAAAACATAGCCTTCTGTATCTTATCGACACAGAAAAAAGAAGTCTTCTTTAATAGGTATTCTATTTCCAGAGTTGAAACTCTACAGTCTACAGTACTTTCCTTCTTCTTTTTTTGTTCTTGAAAATTAGGTTTTTCTAGTATTGAATTAATTAAAGTCAGAAGCAGCTTTTCAGAAAAACGAGAAACCGAACATAGTGAGTAAATGAGCACATGCATTAGCTTTCTCAGTAGCCTTACCTGGATGTATAACACTGAGAGTCAACTGTCTTCTGCCAAATAAAGGTCTCTTCTTGTTGTGCCAAAAGAGACCAACAGAGCTTCTTAGTGAATTCTTCCAACGGACTAGACGTGCTTCCCTTCTTTGCACCGGTAGAACTATCCTGTTGCCGGGTTGTGGGTGAGGTTAAAACAAAGTAACCTCCGGGCTTGAGTAAACGATCAATTTCAATAAGAAACAGCCCATCTGTTTTGTCAAATCATCATTAGATTCATGCTATTAAATTATTTTCACGTGTTAACAGGACTCGAATGGGTATTTAAATGTTTAGAAGGCAACATGATATCTGAAATTGTTACATCACGATAGTTGAAAGACCAAAAGAATATGCTTTTCATTTTCTCTACAGGAAGAGTGAAGGAACAAAATCAACTATAGATTAGAATGCACCCATAAGTAAGAAACTGGTGCTAATTTCAAAATGAGAAATATGTATTTAGCTCCAGCACAGCAGTAAAGGTCAATAATCCCACACACACAATGGTCTTAGCTTCAGCTCAGCTGCCAGCAGTTTCAGCGGAGGTGAGACAGAGCCAATTTTGAATTTAAAAAGAAAATTGAAGCAGGACACCAACAAAAATCTCACTGCATAGGCAATATCAAGCAACATTAATCTATTTGGAAACCATGTTAAACTATGTTGGAGGCCAATTATAAAACACATGGGACGGAGTATGTGTAAGTTTAGCAGTGAATTCGCCAACCGACATCATTAAATAGACATAAAAATGAAGTAAAGATCAGTTAATACATGGAAAATACAAATATAATATGTTTAATCACACATAAATGACTGATGGAAAACCATACTTTTTCAAATTCACAACTGCGGCAATACCTTTGCTGTCCCAAATGATTCCACACTGAGCACAGTGAACCATGTCATAGGACAATGATGGAAATGGAAGCTGTTTAGAAATAAAATTGCCGATGACTGCTGGAAGTCCTCTCTCGAGTACTAACTGAACTTGGCTACCAGATGGCTCATATGCTGCCACACAAAGAGCCATCAACTTCAGCGAGAGTAGGTGGGCACCAAAGCTACCAAATCCGCAACCAATATCCAGCACGGTGCTCACCTGTTATTTCATAAGAGAAGGAAAATATATCTAAGAGTGAAATCTATTCTGCATTACATCATTCGCAGACAAAGCATTGCTTTTAAAACCCGTGAACATACAAACAAGTAACAAATAAGGATGTGTTTAGTTAAAGAAGAACAAAAGTTGCACTTACACCGGCTTGAAGAAGCTCTGTATCACTTCCCAGCCCAATCATCTCTGCGATAAGGTGAGAGTAATCTTTGACACCATCAACAATCATTTCATCCTCTGAATGGAAAGCAATTTGATTCTCTTCCAGTAACATTAGCCTGAAAAGGAAAAAAAATCAAATGACCAACTTTAAAGAAGGCATACAAATTTGTCTTTAAGAATCTATTACCAAAAATAAACCAACCCAAAAGAGGTAAAAACTTAAAACACATGATTATAAATGCACTATTTGAAAGATCATCTGAATTGAATCAACTATACCTTTTTGTCATGCTTCCGGAAGA